GCATGGGCACCTGTTCAATCAACAAGATCTGTTGGAAATCCTCCCCAATAACAATTGGAGCGGCGGATAACATGATGACCTGAGTTGAGGAGTTCAAAGGTCTTGGGGTGTGTGTCTTGCAGGGAGGTCATCATCTATGAAATACACAATGCCATTTAGAATGTGCCCCAATGTAACATATGTTATATTTGGGATTACACTTTCTTTGTAAAGTACAGATTCTAGTACTTTTGTTGGGTTGAGTCCCATCCGGGATTCCAACCCACACCCTCAGAGTCAGGCACCTAATCGCCAGCACACAAAGTCAGACGCCTAGACCACTCAGCCACCGCGGCTTCCACAAAAGAAAGTGTAATCCCAAATATAACATATGTTACATTTGAACACTTTCTAAAATGATATCCACCATATTCATGTACTGGATCTAAAGGTTTGCTGTCCTCATATTGCTAAGCGCATCTTTTTCTTGGTTAACACGACGGTGAATGCTTTCTAATGTGTTTGAAGAAGATACTTCCCCAACAGTCAAGGATTCACTCACCAGCTCATTTTACAGCACTGTCGCATGTTGAGATCCTCCAAACAACGGAATATATATATATATATATATATATATATATATATATATATATATATATATATATATATATATATATATATCCACTAACTTAGGGGAGATGAATTGCACGAGGATCATGCATCAAATTGCTGAATAACATGCGCAAATATCGTGCATGTGAACAGCTGCATTTTGATGTAAAGTTTTGTTAAGAATTCAATAATTTTCAAAGAGTTTCATCATTTATTGAGCTCAAGACAATAATCTTTTCAACGTTACAAATTTGTTTTACAATACATCAGTTCATGTGTAAACAGTACCTTCAAACAGTATGGAAAAGTTTGCAAACTCTAGTTTAGAACAGTTGACTGAAGTAAGTGGCTACATTTACACCAGTGAGTCTCAACGTTTCATGGGTAGTATATCTTGTGATAAGGACTTTTCCGACGGGGAAAATTACAGCAATACAACATCACATTTACTTGTGTGACATTTGCTTTCGCAATCTGAGTTTATGGATCGTCAGTGTGACATTTGCTTTCGCAATCTGAGTTTATGGATTGTCAATTTAAAGCGGACAATGAAGACGAATTTCACAAAAAGCACGGAGGTCCAACATGCCTATGGTATGCTCAGAGAACGCACCCGCCTGTGCTATCCGGTCATAATCGCTACACGATAAAAGCTATTTTTCATTTCACAGAATATATAATTTGATATGGCATTGTTTGTTATCGTATACTTTTGCGTTAGTGAAACAAATGTGGACAACTTTAAAGTTCATGTATGGCGTTATTACAGCAAGGGCCGAGCGGAAGGAGAAATAACATGGTTCAGGCACTGTGAGACTATTGGGAAAGGTCACATGCAGTGCAATTATATTCAAATTATGTACTGTCCAAATTTATTTTACAGTAGTGATACGCGAGCTGAATAGACTTAAGAAATTACAATTGAGTTCGTGTAGCATATGTGGTTGTGCTCCAAGAGAGATAAAGTGCTATTCTATTGGGACAGCTAGAGACACTTGCAAGGACAAAGGGTCCTTATAGCCCTTTGTTCATCACTAAACCGTTTAATCCCTCGAAACAAGCACGTAACAATATTTGCCAACACAACAGACAAGGCGTAACTAAAATGTGTGAAATGAAATTACATGAACCAAGTAATTCACATGATGGAAACATATGATCATCTTGCTTGAGCACAGGTAACATGAAGATGTATGAACTGTTCATATACGGCATGAAGTCCGGCTTGATACATAAATATGTAAGGTGTGTAAAATTAAAGTAAATTTACATGTTTCCAACCCAAGTAAACGTAGCACGAAATCGGAAATTCAGCACCCACTGGAATTCAAAGGAAGGCTGTATGATCATGTATTTACTGGGGTATCTGTTTGCAATTCATGTTTTACATTATCTGACAATCCTGTCATAGCCAACATGAACGAGGTGCTTATGCATACGAAAATATACGATAAGCATATGTTTCAAAGGTCTAGATTTGTATGAAATATATGCCCGAAGATTGGAAGGGATGGTGTAAATCCACCAAAGGTCCATGTAGGTAGCAAAGGCATTGTAAGTCCCCATGGACCCTAGTATGATGATCTACCTTCTGTTGTTGGCGAACTCTAGCCCGGAATTGGAATGTTTTAGCTTTGCTCGCTAGTGTTATATTCATTCTCTATTTTTTTACTGTTCATCGTCGACAGGTTTTAATCTTCATGTTTTCACTTGTTGTATAAATTGTTTTCGTCACGATATGGCTGAGGTATTGCCAATGTGACGTTAAATATTAACTCACTCACTCCTACTGGCCAATACGACATCACATCGTCTTTTGTTGGTTACCCAGCCACGTTGACATATCTGGGAACGCAATGGCCGATCTTGCTGCTGAGGCAGCACTCAACATAACTGTGGTACCTCTTCTGATCCCATACTCCGATTATTAAGCTACCATTAGATCGTACATCCGTGATCTGATGCAGAAGAAGGGGGACACTCAAGTAGGTGTTAATAAATTACAGGACATTAAACCAATTATCGGTTACACCTGCTTGGGTTGTCAGTCCAGATTTGAAGATGTCATCATGCGACGAGATAGTATTGGCCATACAAGATAAACTCATGGCTACCTGGTTAAAGGCAAGGATCCTCAGTTGTGTATCCCTTGTGATGAAAGAATCACAGTCAAGCATGTCCATCTCAAGTGATAAATATTTCAGTGTCCAAACAGTGAAGGATATTTTTCAATATTAATTATTATTTAATTACTGAATTTTTAAAAGAAATAGAATTATGAGATACATTTTGATAAATGGTTTGTAAATAGATAAATATGCTTTTATTGGTAGTTTAGATTAGTAACTGAGATTGTTAGTGGCTGTACCCTAAAAGGGGGTTGAAGTAATGTAAAATTATTGTCCTCCTGAGAGGAGTCCCAAAACATTTAAAGTACATTTAAACCTACTACTATTTTTAATCGTAATATATATGTTATTACAATTTATGGCTAGATTATCTAAAACTGCTAATAACTGAAGGGATGGTGTAAATCCAGCTAGGCTCCATGCAGGAAGCAAATGTACTGTAAGTCCCCATGGTCCCTAGTATAATGATCTACCTTCAGTTGCTGGCAATATAAATAAACTGTATGAATTGAAGCCAACAATTGGTTATACCTACTTGGGTTTTCAGTCAAGACGCGATGAGGTAATTTTACGACGATGTCGTATTGGCCACAGTCGGTTTTCTCATGACTATCTGCTGAAAACGGATGGGGATGGACCCCCCATGTGTGACTCTTGCGATGAGGTTTTCACCATAAAGCATATTCTGCTTGACTGCGTGGACTTATCGTCTGCAAGGGACTCACATTATGATGCAAAAAATCTGAAAGATCTGTTCTTCCGAGTGAGCGCTCATCTGATAGTGAACTACCTGAGGGAAGTTGATCTGTGTCATAAATTGTAACTGTGTAATGTGACTAACAAAGTGCCTGCCTCTAAGTTCAGTGCTACGACTTTTTCTGCTTCCAAATGACAATGTAACGAATATATGTTTTTGAAACGAAACGCATTGTGACTCTGTACTTAGAATGTTTATTAGTGCAGACTTGTTCTCGTCACTACATGGCTGGAATAATGCCGATGTGACGTAAAGCCCAACTCAACTCAACTCAACTGCTGGCAATATATCGCCCATCTTTATAGTGTACCGTTAAACTTAGAAATAGTGTTTTATGGTTATAAGCTAGTTTTACGTATGAATCTGTGATAGACTAGTATAACTAGACTTATAAATTTACAACTTTAATAGTCACGATATGGCTGAAATACTACCGATGTGACTGTAAATTGTAACTCACTCACTCAGTCACTAATGCCAAAGTGACTTCAAATTTTAACTCACTCACTAACGCACTCAAATGATCATCTATGAAGAATCTTTTAAATGAGTTCTCATTTATTATCAACAGAGATTATTCGTGCCACGGAAATTATTGTTTCACTTAGGGGGTTTGTAAGTCCATGGCATTCAAGGTATTCATAATATTATTTTGTTATTTTTTTATGGCTAAATTTGACCAAATCGTTAACATTTGAAGGGATGGTGCAAACACAGCTAGTCCGAATGCAGGTAGCAAATGTAAAGTAAGTCCCCAAGGTCGCGCATGTGGTGATCATTTGTTGGTGGACAAAAGGATTATCCACACATCTTTATTGTTTATTCATGGTTTATTCATTGTACTGATTTATTGTACTGTTAACCAGACAGGGTATTACGTTTCAGTTGGCGTACATGCGAATAGTTCGCAAAATTCGAAAACACACCTGACAACAACTTACTTCGCGGAAAGCTCGAGCATGAAAAAAACATGCGTTTTTGCCACTTGTAAATGTAATAAAAGGTAAATTAAACCAATATTAGATTATGATTTAGTAGTTTCGTTTTTTATATCACAACTAGTACAGTTCCTGCTGACCAGATAGCGATTTTTCTTTTTATATTGTATTGTGTTGTGCAAAGTAATATCGTTTCAGGTTTACTTCTTTTTGGACTGATTTTTATAGCCATACATATATGACACGATATGGCAGAAATATTGCCGACAAGAATTTTAACTCACTCAATCACTTCAAGGCTCAATAAATCACAAGTCCAAATATACCTCACCGCTGACCCATTACTTATTGTCCACATGTACGATGTGCACTGTGATCATTGCCTCACAGGGGCGGTGAGATAGTCTAGTGGTTAAAGCGTCACGACGATTCCCGACGTGGGTTCATTGTGTGAAGCCCATTTCTGGTGTCAAGCGCTGTGATATTGCTGGAATATTGCTAAAAGTGAGTTAAAACTTAACTCACTCACTCATTGCCACACAACAAAATATACTGTTATAGAACAAACTCTTTCTTTATTTTAAGGGTGCAGACAAGCTACTGAAAGAAATAAAAGAGATGATACGCCCATTCAAAGAGAAAAAACAACCCCTAAATGTTCTGGTATTTGGACCAACAGGGTGTGGCAAATCGTCTCTTTGCAATGGGTTCAGAACCTCTCTTTCCAAGAAGGGAGACGTTGCAAGGTATTTTGCGGTGGGAAGAGGACAAGATGAAAGTTATACCCGACATGTGAGTATCTTATAATACGTACATGGTGTTCAATCGTTTCGTTTTTGGTATACTAGGGATGATGGATAAGTTCTGAGCCTAATGACGTTGAAAATTGCAAGTAGATTAACCTCAATCTCTATTTCAATACTTCCGGACATATGGCTGATAATACAATTACATTTTACGTGATCGTCACGTGATCTACTGTCCAAGGCACATACAGGCAATACAATAATGTTTATTGTGCTTTCATATGAGAAGATGCCTCCCACTAAACCGTCCATCATCAGCGCTGACAACTCAGCATTTGCTCAGTTACCTGCTTTTGACAATGTTTTGCAGTCGAGTCACTCACTACCAAAATGAATGTCTCTTTGGCAAAGTTCAAGATGGAGAGTATCAATGGAAATTCAAGCGTACATAAATTTGTTGCTGCAAGTATCCATTGCGCATGCATCCTTTTCAGAACGGGTTTAAATGTATAAATTTATATGCTGAGCTACATACTGCATCTGGTGGGCCTTGTGTTACAGTATCGTAAACTTACTGTCCTCCTGAGACGATACGTAAGTCCCACAACATTCAAAATCTATCTCAATCTATCCACTCTTCTTAATAGCAGAATTTGCGCGCTTTTAATGTATGTCTAGGAATGGTGTAAATCCAGATAGGGTCCATGCAGGAAGCAAATGTACTGTAAGTCCCCATGGCCTTTAGCATGGTGATCTGCCTGCAGTTGTTGGCAATCTATAGTCTGCTTTTACATTGTCTTGTCATTTCTAGTTAAACTGTTTCAGATTCAATTAATAGTTTTAAATGGATATCTGTTTATAAGTTTAGAAATGAATTAAACGAACATTTATTGATGTAAATGTGGTCAAATCAAACACATCTAGAAAGACAATATTATCAACCACTTAAGAGGATAGATACAACCACTAACAATCGGTTATCTAATTTAATCTGCCACTTAAGAAATAACGATGTAGGAAATTGATCATTCACAAAATCATTAACAAATCAATTATAAACTGATAATCAACATTTATTAAAAACATCCTACAACTGTTTTGATACTTAAATATTTCTGCCTTGTGATGGGGAAATCAACACAGTCAAGCAGGACATGCTTGCTCGTAATTCTTTCATGACAAAAAAGGCAAAACGGAGGATCTTGACCTCTTCAAATCTGGACAGCCCAAGTTTTTGTAGGTATAACCAAAATAGGGTTTTATTTCATGTTATTTATTCATACGCAATTGGGTGTCCCACTTCTTTTGCATCAGATCGCGGATATAAGATCTAATTGAAGCTTTGTAATCAGAGTATGGAATAAGAAGCGGTGTAACCAACAAAAGACGATGTCGTATTGACTAAAGTACTGTCGGAAATGCTACAAAAATGCTTTTTGACTTATATTTAAAATTCAGAGGTATTACAGTTACTTAAATAACAAATATCACTTTAAGAAACATCTACCTAATGTAGACCGAGGGAATTAATTGTGAGACATGCCATACAATGCGTTTTTACTGATGAAAATACAAAAAAACTTAGAAAAAAAGGGGTAGTGGGACGTTATTTGATACAAACATTAACTGCCTGTGTTACGTCATCAGCATACACGGTATCGACAGGTGAAATTGACACCTGAGCACACGCTCGGGCGAGGGGTCATCTAAATAGATGTTTTCTGCAAAATGTTGAATATGTGTACGTATAGTATACGTATCAGTTATGTAAGGGACCATTTGTGTATGTGTGTTTGTTTTGAAATAAACATACGAATTACTGTAAATTGGAAAGAATCCTATCACTTGTGTTATCTTATCGATTGATTGTAGAAATGTGCAACGTTTTAATAAATGTTTGGCATGTCAACAGTATATTTCGTTGCAAAAATATGGATGTTATTCGGTCAGTTTAATCTAGTTGTGAACACTGGCCAAAGATTTATCGAAGTCACTGGTGTAGCTTCTTTAGAATATATATATTCTTCTTCTCCTAAAGTTTGTAGACCGCCCGTCTAAGTACTCCCTTGTCAAAGTTGTCAAGGATGGTTTTACGTCCCGGTTTTGCTTTTGAGACGGTCCCTGTCTCGTCTGATTTGTTTACAATATTGTAAACTTGTTGGTAAGACATACCAACAGCTCTACAAGTTCTGTATTAAACCATTTCTATACTAATGAAAGGTTTACCTCTGTCTTTTTCAAGCACAAACAACTTATAAACCTTTGCAACAATCGTCTGCAAATAGTTGGCCATAGTGGACGCTGTGATAAAGATGTGCATGCATGACGGGAAACTTATTTATCAAGACTTAACATTTATATTAATAGTTCTTCAATAAAGAAACGGTATATAAGTAACACAAACATTCAACATTTATTTGTTTAAGAAAAACGCTAATTTATATTGTTACGCCACCTGTATTATTAGCATAAATGTAAAGACTATTTCAGATTTCTGTTGTTGAACTGCCCTTTAAATGCATGGGAATGTTAAATCAATTGAAATAAAACTTAGGTAGACTATAGGTGAGTTGATACATTGACAACATAATACATGTATCACCTTTCTAAAGATATTAAGGCTAAAAAGCATTTTTCTAGCATTTCCGACAGTACTTTAGTAGCAAGATCATTATACCATTCAATTATTTCGATTAAAAGTAGATGTTTGCAAGAGATGTTTTTTATAGCTTGAAGGCAAGAAAGAAAATCTGATATATTGTTTATATTTGGGTGACTTTTACTATATTCAGGAGTTGTTAGTATTGCGTGTGCTTCTGCTGTAAAAACAGAGCTATTATTCGACAATCGAGAGGATAGATCCAAAGACAGTAGCACAGGCCACTGCGCCACCATCCTTGGACCCATCTGTAAATAAGGATGTGTATGTAACTTTCTACTTGATTATATTGTTTATATTGTAATGCATTAGTTTCGGATTTTGTCAACGTTGTCAGTGTTAGGTCAACTTCTGGACTCGCCAATTGCCAAAGAGGAGAAGAAAGAAGACGGGAAGGAGATATGTTTTCCAGCTCAATGCCGGCATCAGAAATGAATTGTTTCATTCTTAGCCCAAGAGGCTGAACAAGAGAAGTCTTCTTGTTCTACAAATCCTCATCACGAGGATAAAAGACACAGTTAAATGCTGGGTTAGATTCGTTTGAATATAGTTTTGTAAACATATTGTAAAGATAAATCTATACGGTGATGTTTTAAAGATGGCTCATTAGACTCGACGTAATATTAATCGAAATACTTGAATTATTTAATGATCTTGCTACGGACCAATACGACATCGCCTTCTGTTGGTTAGTGACTATAAACTTTCATTCACTTACACACTGCAATAGCTAGCATCTGAATGCATGGGGTAAATTCACCCATGCAGTTGGCAAAAGTGGTCCCTAATATGCTACGTTGCTGGTGATCTACCGTCCGTATATAATTGTATTAAATGCGATGTGTAGTTGTTGTGCTAGACTATTTTGATCTTTATACATAGCGTGTGATATATAGTTAATATGTTACTGTAATTCGATATTTGATAATAACTATGTTTAGCTTAACTGGTCACTATATGACTGACATATTGAAAAAATTAAACGTAGGATTTTGTGTTCTGTTAAAATTCGGCTAAATTGTTCCTACAATCGCCAGCGGCTGAAGGGATGTTGTAAATACAACTAGGGTCCATGCAGGTAGCAAAGGCACTGTACGTCCCCATGGTTCCTAGTATGGTGATCTACCTTCAGTTGTTCGTGATCTATAGCCTGTTTTTTATGTTGTCTTGTCATATGTGGTTACATTAGTTTTAAAATATGTATTTGTGATAGTCTAGTTGGTTTAGTGTCCTTCGTTGACAGGTTTTTATACTTTACCCAGAATTATTATAATATATAACTTGATACAGTGACGATATGGCTGAAATACTGCCGATGTGACTTAAAATCTTAAATCACTCACTGACTCACTGACATATTGCATCCAATTATGTTATACCAGGAATATCCAGGGACACCAGGTGGGTGTACTCAAGCAGGGAAATATTTTAAAAAATCATTATTGAACCAGATTGGTCCATGAATCACCGCCTTCTTGCATACGAATTTGGACAAATTAACAAATAAGTAATCTGTTCTTCCAGCAAAACGTAATGACCAAGAGCAAACGATATATTTCAGAAATTCCAAAATATGTGCAAAATATTCACCACGCACAGGTCTTGGCGTGACTTGCCGACTGATAGAACGGGGTCCATCTACCACCCTCCTAGGTGAAGTCAGGGCTGAAGTGGTGTGTTTAGGCAAAGGAAATTATTCCTGGAACCAGTGCCTTTCACCACCAAAAGCCCTTACTCCACCGACACAGAGACTCAACCCACAGGCAAACAGGTTGCCCAGTCGCAAGCATGTCCTGCTTGACTGTATTGATTATTCTATTACAAGGGATCAGTATTTCAAATCATCGTCTACGAATTATCTTCTTAATGATATAAGCTCTCTTTTTGTTGTTGCTTTTAAGGAAATTGAGGAAACATTCATATTGAAATTAATGTGCATGTTTTGGAATGCTGATAATGAATGTTGTAATTTGAAATTATATGATACATATTTGCCAAGAGTCTTAAGCCAGAAGGCGGTTGCTAATGCGCCAATCTGGTGGTAATAGACCTCTGACATCTGTGATTCTTGGGAATGATGCCATGTGCCGAACCAGCCAGGCATTTATTCTTTTAGTTTCTCATAGCTTTCATGACATTATCTCTGAAGTATAACACTCCTGTATCCCTGGTGTCAGCATCTCGGAGATCCGGTGCTACATGACACTGTCCTTGTTGATATTCCGTGGTGGATGGGGAGCAGGGGTGCTGAAACTATTTACTTTTATCATGGATCCCAAACCATCTGGTTTATCTAGCAACGAAAAGAAAAGACGTTTCGAAAATGTCGATGATACTTCAAGCAATGTTTCATCCAATGCTGATTCCTGGGCCCGTTTCCTGGTGAT